GCCCTAACCGCTGTGCCACCGACGCACTCGTTCATGAATTCTAACTTCTGCCAATTCACGACATAACACGTGAATTTCCCAATGTCTTCTTTGAGGAGTTACTGCGTCACCCTCAACTTGCTGTACTCCACTGATCATGGTTTCCCACTAGAACGCCCAGGTAACTACTTTCCTGAATAGGGCCAGTCACTAGTGTGCATCAGATTAATTTTCAAGTATTGGTTTTGTAGAGATTGTGTTTAATTAGTTATAATAAAATGTAAAACAAATGGGAAGGGGCTTTGCATCCAATAATTACAAACATCATTGAATGTGAACTTAAAATGAAGTGAAATGTCACTCAACAATCATGCAGTTAGTAGTCATCTACACCTTTTCTGTGAATGCTGCCTGGTTGCCTAAACATAAGTAGGTAGAGTAAAATTCCGACTAGTGGACCAACTTTTGGAAGTCAGGCAACTAGACCAGTAGACTATAGGTTTACAATGTGAACTTAGGCCTATTTATCAATAACATCTTATATCATTTTAACACACACAAAGCATTTCGCGGAGTGACAGAAACCACTGACCAATATATATTCATTTGCCAGGTGTTAATTATTTGCATAAATGTCAATTTGTTAGAATACGTTCAACAAAAACAACAACTCAGTAGTGATCATTAACTGACAATGAGAACGTAGATTAACACACTTGTGCATGATCATTATGAGTATGCTATTTAACCAACCAACTCTTTTCCATCTAGGCACTAAGATACTTATTAAGAATAAATTAGAAATACTATAAAAGTTTACATAAATGCTGATTTTGTTGTTGTTGTTATTTCTTTTAAATAATGAGCTAAAATATAACGCACTTGTCTTTCCTTGCTTGATAGGATTGTTTTAAAACTATGGAAGTTATTCTAAGAACCGGCCAATCAAATCCCTACAAACGAATAAATGAAGATCAATGAGACGCTCACTAGTGACCAGCCCCATTTAGGTAGGTAGTTACCTTGGGTTCTAGTGAGAATTCGCCACCACTAGGAAGAAGCAGGTCGGGTGTGAGGACAAATACACGCTACGGATAGCATTGACAAGTGGTCATGCTATGTTGGAATTCATGGTTGAGCCAGTGGATTGGGTCCCAGTGGCTTAATGGTCTACGAGCTAGCTCGCCCAGTAACCAGAAGGCCCTGAGTTCGAACCCTGATGGGTGCGTACTGATGAGGAGTGACAAACTAGGACGAAATAGCTCTCCAGTACTCCCAGGTTTCCCAACGGTTCTCTAACCAATGTCAGTTCATGATGAAATCCTGTAACTAAAAACTAAGTTATACATTCCATTCGTGTATAAAATCTGAACCAATGGATTTACCAATTTTTGTAGGAAAATCAGTTTAGAAAAAAACTGCTCAAAGAATATTCTTTTCGATAATTCTGTCTTCTGGCTCTACAATTATATATATATATATATATATATATATATATAGACAGTATTAGTGTTTTTTAAATGCTGTCGATTTGTTAAGATCAATACAATTACTGTTCCAGAAAGACACTTAAGTTGGAAAGAATAAACAAGAAATTTATTACGGCATATCTGGAAAACAACAGCTTGTTTTCAGGCACACAAAACGGTTTTTGAGCGTACCTCTTATTTCTGACATTGCTTCTTACAGTAAAAGAAAACTAGGTCAAGTTCAGGGAGAACAATAAACCCATCGATGTTATTTTCACAAAACTACTCAGGAAACTGGGAAGTTTTGGGAACACGTATGGCCTTCTAAGCCGGATCAAGGAATTCATCGTAGGCAGGAGACAAAGGGTCAAGATCAACTCCAAACTATGTTCCAGGACAAATATACGTAATGGTATACCATTACGTTCTGTTCGCGATTCCATCTTACTTATCCTGTATATCAACATATTAACTAGGCTCATTAAATCTCGCATGATTCTATACGCAGACGACTTGAAAGTTCGGAGACAGCTTAAGGACGACAGCAATATGCTTACGCTGCGGGATCTCAACGAACTGTTAAATTCGTCCGAAGAATGGATGCTCGCATCAACGTAGAGAAGTGCGCAACCACGTTGATTGGACACATAGGCGTTATGTAATATGACAAAGAAGAAACACCACTCCCATCAGTTGAAATTCACACGGGTAAAGGTGTCAGAGTAAGTCATCATCAAGTCTAAACATCTCAGAGGATAAAGCAGGATAGTTTAGGAGCTAAAAAGGAACTATATGGTTTTCGAGTACTGTTTCTCCTATCAAGTCATATACTCTTGGAACCAACTCCCAGGAGAGATGGTTTCTGTGCTCTTAGTCAACTTGATCAAGAAGGGATTACACAATCACGGATATAATTATTAAAAAGGTTTAACAAAGGCTTAAAGCATTGTATTCCCAACCAAAAATCATAATTTTACGAGCTGAAACAGTTTAAAGTGTCAAATATTTTATACTTCATATTTCAACTACTTGTAAACTTTGAGTAGTACTGGAATTATCATCATTGCATTGAACTGATTACCTTAGTGAATTATTTCAAGTGAATTCAATCATCATGAGCTGACGTCAGTTAAAGAACCATTCGAAAACCAACACGGAGTACTGGACGGCTGTTTTGTCCTAGTTTGGAACTCTTCATCCGTACGCACCCACCACCAGGGTTTGAACCCAGGACTTTCTGGTTACAAGGCTAGCGAGCTCGTAAACCATTAAAACACTGGGACCCGATCCAATGGACAGCCCATGAATTCCAACTTCTGCCAATTCACCATTAGCTACTGCCTCCCCTCCAACTTGCTGTACTCTACTGGTCACGGCTTCCCACTAGAACCCGAGGTAACTACCTAACTGAATAGGGCCAGTCGCTAGTGTGCATCAGATCAATTTTCAAGAAAATCCTTAGAAAACCGGTACGGCTCCTAACCCCATTGGGTGCATGCTGTTGTAGAGTCCCAAACTAGGACGAACCTGCTGTGCAGTATTTCCTGCAAGTTTTCCAATGGTTCTGTAACTGATGCCAGCTCATAGTGAAATCCTCTAACCAATCAAACTAAATTCCTACAAAAACCAATTTTTTATTTCCTTCACGTTCCCAGTAGAAAATAGGCCTTCAACCTGGAGGCTTGAAGTTTCTGTAGCAGTGTTTATTTTTACAGGATGGGGTTGCTAGCCTCATGCCCAACCTTCCCCCTTAACCAATCTTATTACTGGGTAAGTGAGGTAAAGGAGTGAGGCGTCGGCCGGGGATCGAACCCCAGACCATGTGCATGATCGGCGAGCATGCTCCATTATTTCGAAAGTAATTCATTTTACAGTTAAGGATGATGAACTGAATGAAAAAGGAAGTTCTTTAATAATTTATGCTTTCTACAATCTAATGAGTGTTATTGATGTAAATAATTAGGTAATCATCAACCAGAAACCCCTTTGACCAACAAATTTGCATAGAGATGGGGATGGACAGGACATATACTGAGAATATCGTTGAGTGACATCATACGCTAGACAGGCTCTCGAGTGGAACCAGAATGGGTCTGTGACATGGAAGAGATCATGTAAGTAAAAGATGAAAAGTTATGGGTAGTCGTAGACCGGCTAACAACTACAGAAAAGAGACTGGAATGACGATTTCCTGGTGAAGCCCTATGTTCCACTCAGAACCCAAAGGAGTAATAATTGTGCGCTTATCACCATTACCAATTGAAACTGAATGTCGATCACGCTTGTTGCATATTAAAGCACACTTGAGTGACACGAAGAATTTTTTTAGAAAATCTCAAAACTTAGAATACGGTAAACACTTACTTTATTTAAACGACTCACAGAACCTTACACTATTCGAATCAACAACCTGTCTTCACAGAATAGTAGCCTGTCCATTTATAAATGACTATAGGTTTATGCTATAAAACAAACTCTGATATTAGATGGTTGGAGGCAGTCGGCCACAGGAAGCCTTGCTTGACTCAGGTTTCATGCTGGTTCGCACTCACCAGTCAGCAAGGCGTATTCTGCAACCTTGAAGGAATTCATGTCCATTTTGAGATTCGAACCCGTGTCACCTGGTGCAGTGCAGCGGTCAGAGACGTTACCACTGAGCTATTAGGGCTCGCGATTGACCTCCTTTAGGACTCTAATGGGTATTTTGATTTGACACTAGTAACTGATGTGATGTGTCTAGTCCTTTCTTAGGTGCAGACTGAATTTTATCAGTCAGATTGTAATGTGGCCACCACGCCTTGTCGACGAGTGCCAACTAGCATGAAACCTGTCCAAGGATTCCTGCCGATTTCCTCCAACCATCTAATATCATCAAATCAACGTGCACCGTGATGGCGAGCTACCTAGAAAGGCGGCCACATTACAACCTGACTGACAGAATTCAGTCTGCACAAATCAGAGGACTAGACACATCACACTAGTTACTAGTGTCAAATCAAAAAACAAACTATTTGAACTTCTGCTGTACTGAGATAGATAACCCAACCTCTCGACATCTTCAGCTCACCTTTCATCTTTCCACAATGCATATTGCACCACCAAACTTCAGAAGTGCTTATTTCAAGAAGTAGAAACATTCGCTATTGAAGGCATCTAACTTTATCACTTCAGAGTTAAATTACAGAAGTGTATTTTTTACTGCTTGATGATAAGGCTGACGAGTACCAAGAGGCACGAAACCCAAGTCCAGGGGTTACCGCCGTTTGTCTCCAATCGTTTAACATCAGTTCCTAATGTACTATAATGGTGAGTCACTCCGACCGATGGTAAAACTTTAGACTGGTTAGCTCAGCGTTAACGGCTCCGTCTGCAACACTACTACTGGGCGACACTCTGATAGGCAGTCAGTTATTTCAAGATTGCATATCCGCCTTGTTGATGAGTGCCAATAACCTCGAATTCTAAGTCCAGGGCTTCCTGCAGACGGTATCTAATCATCTAATATCACATGATGAGGCATCACAAATAAACATTTACATGAGAGATACTTACCGATCCTGAGCTTGTAAATCTGATTGTGGATTCCAATCAGAATCGAATATGATCACAGTATCTGCAGCTGTTTGCAAGTTTATCCCACAGCCGCCAGCCTTCGTTGATATCAAAAATACTGGAAGTCGTTCAACACTTTCTAGATTAAAACGTCTAATAGCATTTTGGCGATCATAAATTCTTGTTGAACCATCAATTCTTACAAAAGGTAATGATCGACAGTCTAATAACTCTTCCAATAGATCTAAAATCATTGTGAACTGAGAGAAAACAACTACCTGTTGCATAAGAAAAAGGAAAAATAGATATGTGTAAAAATCTTACACAGGTATTGATTAAATCTTTTGATTTTGTAGATACTTTTGCTTGACGTCTTATAATTGCGTATCGTGTAACTGAAGTCCAAATAATCTTCAGGGCATTCAGTGAAGAAAATTTTCTTTATCGACGAAATCATCTTCAGAGGCTGTACAGCCGTATTTATACTTACAGAAATACATAGTGGTCTATTATTGAGTAATAGCGGGTGACATAATTGATGTAATTACTCGGAAGTGGCTTTAGAAGTAAAAAGTTAAAAGTTGTAAATTACGTAGTACTCAACGGCACAAAGATAGAAATTTGATAAGGTTAAAATTACTATTGAGTGCGAATAAAGGTATTTGAATGACAAAGTGCACACTTACAAGCGCATATCTGAACATTATCCGGCATCGTTAGCAAAATGACAATGCAAGACAATTACTAACTCAATTCTGGAGCATTTCATGAGCTCAAGCCACGTAGCTCCACCAGAGTCGTCTTTCAAGATCATCTACAAAGTGAAGCCAAACGGTAAAAAGGGCGTCAGGTTTCGGCTTTTTTGTATGGCGGAGGCGCTGGCAATTCGTCAATACAACCCCAAACTCTGTATACAAAAACGTTTGTCCAACCTCTTATTCTACCTTGGTCTTAACCTCTTCCCTAGTCGTTCCCTGTAAAAATAATTTGATTTTTTCTTTTCCTTTTGATTTTCAATTTTGCTTTTAGTTGGCTTTTGCATTAATAATTAATTCACTATTATCACTCTCATATGCTCCTTCTGAACACTTTACACCCGCTTCACACTTGTTGAATTGACACTCAACTAAGTTTATTCGCAGTCAATAGAAATTTTAACCTTATCAAATTTCTATCTTTGTACCGTTGAGTACCACGTAATTTACAACTTTTAATTTTTTACTTCTAAAGCCACTTCCGAGTAATTACATCAATTATATCAGCCGCTATTACTCAATAATAGACCACTATATATTTCTGTAAGTATAAATACGGCTGTACAGCCTCTGAAGATGATTTCGTCGATAAAGAAAATTTTCTTCGCCGAATCTGTCTTTTATCTTTTTCAGGGAATCATTTTTGATCGGCTGACTGAATGGATCACAAAGCAGGATTTCGCACAAAATTGCAGCAGTTCAAGTTGCTACATTTCATACAGCCCATAAATGTGGAAAAAAAACTGAACGGAAATATGCGTGAGTAGGTACAAGTATGTGAAGAACAATGAGAATTTAATGGATCCGGGAGTCCGTACAGAGCAAATGCATATGATCCTTTGAGAGCTATTTTGAGTCATTTCACCCACAGTCTGCAGTCACCAATTCTTGGTATCTTGGGACCTCAACTAAGCAGTTCGCACCTCCAGCATGGCTCACACCAACAGTGAACGACCTCATGAACTGATGGCAGGTTTCGATTAGACTACAGTTAGCTCTTTTTCAACCTTATCCCATGTCTGAGAAAGGTACGGCTGGGCACGTGTAACACGTGTTCTAACCATCTCAGCTTGTGTAGCTTCACAACCTAATTGATTAGTGTAATTTTGAAGGATTGCTTTTAAAAAAAGCTATAAATTAGTATAGAGTAGTGAATAAGGAACCAATTCCAAAATGAATATATATTTTTCCCATGTAAATTTTATTAACAATAATTTCAATATAGTCTGTCAATCAGTTTGACTACTCCTGTGAAACCAGTTATATTGGGTGTACAATTAGGCGTGTTCATCATGGGATTTGTGAGCACCATCTTGTGTAGTTAAAGAAACGCCAAACAGTGTTTAATGCTAACTCTCTTTTAGCTCAACTTGTACACAATGAACTTAAAATCGATGTTAAAGTTACCTACCGTGTTCTCATTAATCTCAGTTTCACCTTACAGGTTCATCTGTTATACACAGCTGAAGCTGTGGGAATCCATCTGTAGAAGCCTAACTTATGGATTCAAAAAGGTTCGTTCAGACACTTTCCCCATCTCGGTAATTATTTTTTTTAAACTATCTTTAATTGTTGCATAAATTTTTATCCTTATTGTCCCTTACACATACTTCCAAACTGTAATCTGATGATTTCCATATTATTTATAAAATATCAATACTGTGAATAAATATTATCCATTAAATAGTATGTGCTTTGATTAGAAACTAGGTAATAACAAGTATCATGCGTCTAGTCTCTTGTCAGGTACAGGCTGAATTCTATCAATCAAGTTTAAGGTGTGACTACCGTGCTAGGTGGCTCCGCCATTATGTCGCACTCCCAAATGTTGTTATTAGGTGGTTGGAGGCAATTGGTAGGAAGCCTTGTACATAGGTTTTGTTGACACTTGTTGACAGAGATTCATAAGCAAGGCATATCTACAGTTTTGGAGTAACTCATGTCCCTTCTGAGATTTGAGCCCACGTCTCTCACTGCTGCAATCAGATATGTTTTCAGGGGGTGGATCGCGAGTTCGAACAGTTTAGTCGTTACATCTCGAAATTGCAGATTCAACTTGTTGACGAGTGCCAATGAGCACAAAATCTAGGTCTAAGGCTTCCTGCCGATCGCCTCCACCCCTTAATAACAAATATTATGTGCATACACAAGTGTAAAACCAAATGAGGAAGTTATCGAAAAGAATATTCCTTGCTCAGTCCTTTTTGTCTTCTAAATAATAATTTATTGTTTCACTTCCCTTTAAAGCCCTTGTTTCTGTTTTATTAACAAGTTCAATGTGTAGGGAAAACATTTTTTTCCTTTACGTTACCCAGTGGAACATAGGGCTTTAAGCTAGTGGCTTGAAGTTTCTGTAGCAGTGTTTATTATACAGGATGGAAGGGGGGCTAGCCTCATGCCCATCCCTTCCTCTTTACCAGCATTATTTCTGGCTTAGCGAGGTAAAGGAGTGCGTCAGTAGCCGGGGATCGAACCCAGGACCATGTGCATGGTTGGTGAGCGTTATGCCACCGTTATGCACCGTAGGGTAAACATACTTCTTCCCAAAAACTTTTTTCCCATAAACTTACTTTATGTCCATCTCCAATCAACCTTTGAAGAAGACGATCAAGTAGACGCGTCTTCCCGCTCGCTTCAATTAACTCTTTCTGCTCAACTGTAAGAACAGACATATCTTCTTTTTCTACTGACGCATTGTCCGAATCTCCACAAATGTTATTTGGCGAGTCAGGAATAATAACAGAAGATGAATTCTCTTGAAGTGAAGATGGTCTTTCAATAACCAAGAATGGATGATTGACAATCCGTCGTAAAAGCATGAACCCGTTATTCAAGCTAATATTCGGCAGCAATACAAATTCAAAATCAACTTCCGTCTTTGTAGATTCGTTTTTAAATGTCATTTCTGTGGAATTGATTTTGGAGCTAAGAATATTGAATAATAGAAAAAAATGATCAGAAAAACAGATAATTTTTCACATTTTAAATTATGGGTTTTTGTAGGGATTCGGATTAATTTCACTGTTGATTTCGTCACGAGCCAGCATCAGATACAGAACATTGGAAACCACGGAGTACTGGATAAGCGTTTGTTTTATATCGTGACTCCTCATCAGTGAGCACCCATGACCACATCAGGGATCAGATATCGAACCTTCAGGTTACAAGACCAAACTTGTTGATTATTCGTGATATACTGCTACCCTCAACCAGTTCCTTCGATGAACATTCACTTTACCTTGACGTTGTGGACCCTTATAGTCACGTCTTCACAGTTCAGCTTCAGGACATTTATCTAATAGGCATCAATGAGCAGGAGGCTGATGTTTTAGATTATAGACGTGTGCAACACTGAAGAGTCCCAAGCTTAGGGGAAACAGAGCTACAGTGCTACCTCATTTTCAAAGGTCATATTGATAATTTAATACGAGTTTAGATTTTCCCGTCGATTGATTGGACCGAAGTGCTCGGTCTCAGGTTGACATGTCGGCTTGTTGTGCAGATGCTTCTACGATGTCTGGACATTTAAATCAGTCGACGGGAAAATCTAAAATTGAATTAACATAATCCGTTTCACAAGAGGTGGCTTTCGTGGCCCAAGTGGTCTAGTGAATATCGCTTTGGCGTTTTAAACTATGGGGACTGGGTTCGAGCCTCGGCGGATATATCATCACTCACTGGGAAATACAGGTACATCCAGCTGGAGGACGAGTCCCAAATAGGACGAAATGCGCGTCCTGAATTCCACTGCTAGTCACTACCCATCACTTGAAGTCTCTGATTGGTGTTGGTTCGTGATAAAAATCTACATTGAAATAACTTTGAAATATTTTGTGTAGTGTTTTAATAAAGTAGCTAAACGCGAAGACAAGTTGTATATAATCAAGTGAATTGAAATAATGAAGAAGATTTGTAGAGTTCAGGTGGATGATTGTGTTGTGTTCTCTCAGCTAGTTAATTTAATTGCGAGGCTTTCCTCTTTCTTCTAGGCAACATCTTCGGGGTAGGTTAAGATTCTCCTGGCAGACACTGCCGTGACTGGATGTTGATTTACATCTCTATTGATCGCTTTTTATTGACTTGGAATTCGAACATTCTTGTCACTTGATTTTCTTCTTATTAGCTATCTATATTAACGTGTTTGTTATTTTGATTGGATACTAGTAACTAGTGTGATGTGTCTAGTCCTTTCTTTGGTGCAGACTGAATTCTATCAGTCAGGTTTGCTATGTGACCACCATGCTAGGTAGCGCGCCATCACGGTGCACCTGACTGATAGAATTCAATCTGCACCAAAGAAAAGACTAGACACGTCACACTAGCTACTAGTGTGCAATCAAAATATCCACTACAGTCCTACAGGAGGTCAGTCGCGAGCCTAATAGCTCAGTGGTAACGTCTCTGACCGCTGCACTGCACCAGGTGACACGGGTTCGAATCTCAGAATGGACATGAATTCCTTCAAGGTTGCAGATACGCCTTGCTGACTGGTGAGTGCGAACCAGCATGAAACCTGGGTCAAGCAAGGCTTCCTGTGGCCGATTTCCTCCAACTATCTAATATCATCAAATGTGTTTGTTAATGTAGGAATTTTAAATAGAGGAAACACCAAAAATGTCAGGGAATTCCTAGAAGCCTGGTAGTCAAGTGAATCAACAATTATCTCAATCAAATTGGTGTCTATAATTATCTACACACATTGATACGAAAGAGTATATAAATCATTTCTTTTTACAGTCAGTTTTTGTCTTTGGATTCGGATTCGAAGGGGACACCCACTAATTCAATCGAGCTAATTTAAATAACTCAAATAAGATTTTAGAAATTTTCCCCTTCTTTAGGGCGACTTAGGACTCTGCAAGAACTGGCGAGGAATCATGCTCCTATCGACGCCAAGTAAAATCCTGAGTCGCATCATCCTGGAGAGATTAAAGGATGCACTAGAGACAGAACTCCGACCAGAACAAGTTGGATTCAGGAAAGTCAGGCAAATCATGTTCTGACCGAATTGCAACTCTACGCATCATCATCACAGAACAAAGCATGGAATGGCGATCAAACCTCTACCTCAGCTTAATAGACTTTGAGAAGGCGCCTTCGACAGTTAGCGTTGACCGCGAAGTAAATTGGAAATTACTCGAGTACTATGGCGTACCCCAAATATTCATCAACCTTATTCAACAGCTGTATGACAACGGCACATGTCAAGTCATCCACAACGGAAAACTCAGCAAGGCGTTTGGAGTAAACACAGTAGTCAGATAAGGGTGCTTATTATCACCAATGAATGATATTCCTAATTGTGGTGGACTGGATTATGCGTCAGACAGTGGGAAACGAGAAGACAGGAATATCCTGGACCGACAGACGTGAAGAACCTAGAAGACCTGGATTTCGCGCGGAGATGATTTATGTTTGATGTCACACACAATCGAAGACTTACAAGCGAAAACCGACAAACTGGTCGAAGAAGCAGCAAAGACAGGACTCCAGGTAAACATAGACAAGACGGAGGTTATGAAAATAATCAACCAACAACAGCAACAACATCCAACGTCAATCACCATCAACGGGAGGGACTTGAAAGAGGTCACTTCATTCACTTATCTAGGGAGCATTGTCTCAACTACAGGAATGGAGGAACGGACGAGGATGTCAAATCGAGAATAATTGGGAAGGCGAGAAACACATTCATCAACCTGAAATCAATCTGGAAATCTTCATCACTCAGCATCACCAACAAAATTCGGATTTTAAATACAAACGTAAAGTCAGTTCTTCTATACGGATCAGAAACTTGGCGGGTCACAAAGAATATTTCCAAAAGACTGCAGACCTTTATTAACAACTGTCTTCGCTCTATATTGAAGATTAGATGGCCGGAAAGAATCACCAACAAGGAATTATGGGAACAAACAATGCAAGAACCAATCGCCCAACAAATATGCGAGAGAAAGTGGAGATGGATCGGACACTCGCTGAGGAGACCGCTGGGTGACATCGCGCGTCAAGCACTCGAGTGGAACCCGAAAGGGAAGCGGCGTGTGGGACGTCCAAGGGTGACATGGAGGAGATCGTGTGAAGAGGAGTTGAAAGAATATGGACTAACATGGACGCAGGCGGAAAGTACAGCAGAAGACAGAAGCAAATGGAGACGTGCAGTTGAAGCCCTATGTTCCACTAGGAACGCAAGGGAGCAATAATAATAATAATCCCCTTCTTTATGTAAATATACAAAGTACCGTATAAAATACCAACATTAAGATTTATCAGATGTTACAGTGTTTCATCGGTTAGCGGTATTTCTTATTAAACAGTATGTGTGAGGATTAACTGATAATGCTGCTTGTTAATAAGTGGTAATGGTCAAGAAACACAGAATAAAGCTATGGCAATGAAAATCTCCCCGTCAACAACAATCATTTAAATTCAATTCACTGCGAAATTCAGTAACTTGGCTTATTTTAAAAATTGTAAGATGCAATGAGTATATCTACTTGACAGTTTGGCACTAATCACAACCACCGAACACATTACTTACTGAGTAAGCATTATATGTGAAGTGTACTGTCTGTGTCTGCCGCGATGGGTGACGCGGGTTAGAATCTCTTAGGAGACATCAGTCCTTTCGTGGATTCAGATACACCTTACTGAAGAGTGCCAATAAGAATGAAGCTTAAGTCAAAGGGATTTACCGATTGCTACTAGCCAAGTAACATCATTTCAAAGTGCATCACATAGACTGGTGACCACAATATAAACTTAACTGATAGAATTCAGTCAGGATTCCACACATGTCATTCACTTCTGCATATTTGTTGGAGGTAGATTATTGGCTGTTTTGTTCAGTTACCAGAGTTCCACATAGCTTATCTTTTCCGACTTGTCATCGATCTTCACTATTGAGCTGGAGAAGGCAGTTGTTGATGAAATCTGCAGTAGCTTGTTGAAAATGCTTTATGTGACCCGCGAAGCCTGTGAACTATATAGAATAACTAACCTGACATTATTTTTTTCATGCTCAGTGCAGCAGATTTCCATATTGGTTTCGGCACAATAAAAACCTTTGTTTCTTTCCAAATCCTAGCTCTAATATTCTCATCTCACCGCCTGCAGCTGTAACCATACTGCGTAGGTAAGTGAAATATCTAGCTTCTTTCGGATTTCTTCTGCTCAACACGTATATCAACACGTATTATTATCTACACGACCGATGGTGCTACCTCGACTGAAAGATGAAGTACCTAGACTAGCCGGCCACTTCAAATTGTATCTACCGATTCAACTGCGCTGATGATGGAGCCAGTTATATTGGCCGTTGCTCTAAGAACTTGATTTTTCGTGCTCGCTCGAGAACATCTCCCCCCATGGCTAAGTAAAGGTGTAGTGGAAACCATTACCAGTTCGATATTGGACCATCTGGTGCAAACCGGCCACAAAGCCAGCCAGCGTAGAAGAATCCTTCTCTATAATCTGCCTGGTGCTTAATAAACTGCCAAAATCATTGGAGCACCGCATGCTCCGAACAGCGGAGGCTGTTGCAATTCTACTCAAACAACTAGTGCCCTGTGTTCAAAAGAAGCAAGTCCAGCCCCTACTACTGCCCTGGCCAACCTTCAGTAGAGACTATAAATTCATAAATTTGTAATATTATCTTTCCTAATTTGTCTGTCTGACATTCAGCTTATTTTATGTTGATGCTACTGAGCTGTAATCTATCAATATTATTGATTCGATGTTATTTAAACCATAATGTTGTTCATAACACTAATTCATTCATTCACTATAATGTATATATAACTGTAGAGCCTGACGATGAAGTTATCGAAAAGAGTATCAATTCTTTCTTCTGCTCACCAATTGGTGATTGTAACCCAACTGGCCTAGTAGATAACGCTATTTAACTTCGCCTAGTTTACTGACCACTCAAACCCCCACCCCCACTCCGAAAAAAGAAGGAAGGTTGGATGTGCGGCTAACAATCCTAACCCAGAAAATCAATCCAATCACTACAGCCACTTCAATTCAACCAAATAAAGTATAGCTAAATATTAGTATAAATAATAAACTACTGATGAACTACTTATTAGTATTGGGTATTTTTTTGTTGAAAAATTTTATTCAACCAAAAGTATTCTCTATTAACTCACCTTGTACTTCTAGTGAGTCGAGGAGAATGAGACTTATTTCGACGACGTTTATGACGGGTTGCAGACTCCTCAAGTATATTAAATTTATCAATACAAGTCCATGTACATCCAACTCTGTAATTGTTTGATTTATTTCTTAATAAAGCACTCAAATCACACAGATTTTGATTTTTTAGTAGAATATCAACAATATAATCATATAACTTCTAAAAAAATAATAATAATAATAAAAAGGCATGTGCAGATAAGTGGTTGGTAAAAGAGATGAGTAAATATAAATCGATTTCAAATTCACAATTTGAAAGGTACACACAGTTCGAGTGGAAAATTTTCACCATAGTTTCCCTAGGGAAACAAAATTATTCAGATCTCACACCTACTGTGATCTATTTGATACTGTAAATGGTAATGAAAAAAGCAAATATATTTGCATAAAACCGTATACTACTGATTGATGTACATAAGTAGTTGTATACTACTTATATCAACCAGTAGTGCTTGCTAACTAATTTGGAAAAACGGTAAATTTCATTATTGGTGTCACCAGTTCGACCGAGTCGGTGGCACAGAGGTAGAATGCTCACCGACCACGTCTCACGTAGTTAAGGGTTCCACTCCCGGCCAACGCCGCACTCCTTTACCACGCTAAGTCAGTAATAAAGCTGGTAAAGAGGAAAGGTTGGGCATGAGGCTAGCAACCCCATCCTCTAAAAATAATCACCACTGCTACAGAAACTTCAAGCCTCTCCACTGGGAACGTGAAAAAATGAAAAAAAGGTTCGACTGAGTAGCTAGCAAGAAATCGGGCGGTTTGAACTGATTCGACTGTTTTAGCTGATGAGCTCGACCCCAAACGAGTGAAACGACCGTCCGATGTTTGGATCACCTAGATCTAACTAGCAAGCACTACTGGTTGATATATGGGTGGTATGCGACTAATCATCTCAGTCAATAGTATATAGTTTCTTCATCTATTTGTTCTTGCAAACCACACACACACACATCAGTAGAATTATGACTTATACAAGGCTGACTTAAGTCACTTGTGTTCACTGTGAATAAATATGCAGAATTATTCCCAGGAAATTGGTAAGTAGTTATCTCATGTGCTATTGGATTGGCTATATTACATGGTGAACTGCTTTACAAACAGACATCATTCTGAGCTGGGTCTATTTAGCTGTGCATATACATAATGAACTTCTGTCGAGATCGGATCATTAAACCCTTTGACAAAAAGATAAAACCCTTGGATAGACAAATCACTTGACATTCACACTAAATATCGTCATTTTTCATGCATGCATAATTTAAGGCTTTTCACTAAAGAATGTATCTACTAAGCGATAGTTTCGCCTATTCTTCTTTATCACTGTGGCATATGGCCATTGAAAATGGAAGATATGAAAATATTAATAAATATTCATCACAGATGTGTGTGATATAGTTAAGTTAGGTGTAGTGTCTTAAATAAAGAAGGCCAACGCATCGATGAGCTCGTGAAGCTGCATCGACTGAGATATACCTAAAACACACGTTACGTATATCCAGTCACAGTCTTTATTGAGGATTATGTTGAGAAAAAGTAGCTAGGGACAGTCACAAAAAATATAGCAACAATCCAAGAAACCTTTGATTATTATTTCTAACCAAACATGGAGGCATAGAATGCTAGGATGCTCAAGAAGCTAAGAGTCCGTGAAAGCGTAGATATTAACACCCCCTTTTGAGAATTTTCATTATTCTTCTTCGTATAGATTTCAGTTTATTATAGTTTCACTCCGCATTTATTTTCCCCACTTTTGCGTGTTTTTATGAGGTATTACAACGTGAGCTGTTGCACTTCTATGCAAAATCTTGAGGTGAAAATCCGCTAAAATATAAACATTACATGAGAAAGCGGTTTCACAAAACTATTTCTTATTATTTTTCATACGAGTTGATCACGGATTGATATCAGCTAGAGAACCATTGAAAACCAGTACCTGAGTACTGGACAGCTGTTTCCATCGTCCTAGTTTGGGAACCATCGGCAGTACTCACCAACACACCAGGGTTCGAACCCAGGACCTTCCAGTTACAAGACAAAATCGTATACCATTCAGCCACTGGGACCGATTCAATGGCCAGCCCATGAATTTTAGCTTCTACCAATTCGTGTTTTAGCGCAACCCCAACCATTGTCGTAGGTGGGATATCCATCCTCATGAGCCATTGAATCGAGTCCCGGTGGCCTTGTCTTGTAACTGGAAGGTCCTGGGTTCGAACCCTGGTGTGTTGGTGAGTACTGCCGATGATTCCCAAACTAGGACGATGGAAACAGCTGTCCAGTACTCAGGTACTGGTTTTCAATGGTTCTATAGCTGATATCAATCCGTGATCAATTCGTAAAAACAAAACTAACCCTTACAAACCAAACTATAGAAAATTTCTTATTATGTAAAATATACGCTAAATATGATTTGTAGGAGTTTTGTTGAAAATGTTTCCGGCTAAAAAAGGAAACAGCTCATAGCATAATCAATGATCTTATACACTTCCATAACTATTAAGAGTAAATCCAAGATGATTTGGTCATAAAAGTACTTCAAAATCTTGAAGTTCATCCTGGTAGTTGTATGGCTCTTATATCAAACACTCCTGTTGTTTCTTCGTCATCGTATTTTCATTATATTTCTATCGTATAATATTTAGTGATAATCGTAGAACTAGCTAAAATAGACTGCAAAGTACAGAGTGAAATAGAGATGTGTTGTTGAAGTTGTATAATCCACTTGGAACCCAAAGGAATAATCATAATAATGGTTTATTAATTTTAGCAATCTACTTTGAACCTTTGCGCATCACATTTTCCAATCCTCCTAGCCTTAAAGAAATTTCAAACATTTATTCTCCTTTATGAATTTGAATAAAGCAAGAACAAGTTTACACAGAATAAAATGTTACCATTGTTTATCTCGTTGCCTTCTCATCAGCTACTTACAGGCCAAAGTCATTATTACGTATATCTACAGAGACAATTTTAAAATACTTGCAAAGAGTTCATTTTTAAGCAAAAATCAATAAATGTATCCATTCAATAATAATACATATAATAATAAACACTTTATCCCAAACAGTAATGATCATACATAATGGAAACTTTTAGCACTACGTAATCAGATGAGAGAGGGTGGCAATGTCCAGTCACAAGGACAAAGAAAGGCTAATAACTGCTTATTTCTGAACGCAAAGGTTGGGTTTCAGGCGCTTGATAGAGAGTGCTTCGTCAAACTTAAAGAGAATTGAACTCTTTTGCCTACTGACAATTCTGACTGATCTTGCGATGTCCACCTCATGACCCGTGTAAACGGAGATGCCTAGTGATGGCAATGTTTAAAGCATTTGTTTCCTTTAGACAGAGGCTTTTTGGTAGATGTTCAGGAAATCGTAGATATGCCCTTCTTTCTGTTCTTCCAATGTAACTGTTCCCGCAGATACAGTTGGAGTTAACATGAGAAGGGTATCCATCGACTTTCGATTGCACCAAAGAGTAAGTTATTCGATAGACGGGAACGAGTTTAGCTGCAGGATAGGATCTGCCTAGAGACATCCTCAATCTTCTGCTGACCATTGCTACAATGTTTTCATTTTTACAATCAAGCTGAATGTAGATTGGCTTTTTCTCCACTGTGATTTGTTTGACATTTGTGACTTCAGATCTACCATACTTATTGATGAATCTTTGAGGGTAACCATTGCCTTTCAACATCTTTTCGGGAAACATAAATTCTTCCTCTAATTTCTCTATAGAGCATAATCTCCTAGCTCTATAGTATAGAGTCTTGACTAGTCCCAGTTTAAAGCTATTTCGACAAAAACTATTAAAATGTAGGTATTGTCCTTTCCAAGTAGGCTTTCAGTAAATTGACTTCTGAAAACTACCATCTTCTAGGCGTTGCATGGCAATGTCGACGAAGTGGAACTTTCTATCACTTTCATGTTCCATATTAAATTCAATATTCGTATGTGCGTCATTCAATAATCTGAGTAGGTGGGAAACATAACTTTCATTGTTGCACACTACAAATATGTCATCGACATATCGACAGTAGCAAGTTGTTTCGTCGATTGCATGCTTCAATTTTGTTGGACTTGAATATATCTGCTAAAACAGCAGCCAGGAGGTGTAAGTATCAATATCTCTTATCTTATTTGTGTGCATCGGTGGCACAGTGGTTAGGACTCTCGCCGACCATGCACATAGTCCGAGGTTCGATCCCCTGCCGACGCACACCTGATATCTATGGTCGGCCTGCAAAAGTTTGGCTACCGATATCCATGCTGAAAATTCCATACATGTACCAAAAATGCAGTGTGGAACCAAGCTGTAATCAAAAATAAAATTAAAAAATCCTCCCATTACATAGTGCCAAACATAACTAATAGATAACGTTTTGTTTCATAGAATACTTTCCACATAACTTTTTTTAAAAAGCCACATCTGAATACATCCACTGGTTATGCAGTGCATATTTATTTATGTGTTAGTAGGTGAATGATATCCGTTTTCTTTTGACTTTATGATCGTTTTTCTCGGTGCTGGGTTGTTATCCTCACGTCCAAACTCTCCTCCTTATTTGTCTTAGTACTGTCTTAGAGAGGTTTAGGTTTCCATCGGCTGCGAATCGAACCCTGGATCGAGTGATTGATTAGCGAGCACTTTATCACTGATTCACTCACTTACACAAACCAGAGAGTTCTGGACAGATATTTTGTCTTGATTCAGGACACTTTATCCGTACGCAGCTCACGGCATTCAAACTCAGTACTTTCTAGTTAAAAGGCGAACCCGTATTCCATTCAGCCACTAGAACCTTTTTTTCCTTCACGTTCCCAGTGGAACATAGGGCTTCAAGCTAAAGGCTTGAAGTTTCTGTAGCAGTATTTATTTTTACAGGATGGGGTTGCTAGCCTCATGTCCAACCTTTCCTCTTCACCAGCTTCACTTTTGGCTGAGTGAGGTAAAGGAATGCGTCAGTGGCCGGGGATCGAACCCCGGACCATGGTCGGCGAACGTCGTAACCGCTATGCCACCGACGCACTGTGCTATTCCAGTTGTTTCACACTCACAACTGAGTTATCCTATACGTATAACGTAAATAACAAGATATGAACCACATTTGGTATGTGAAAGATAATGGCAAGACTGGTCTACCAGAAACCAAAGTATGTAGAGAGTAGTTTGCATTCACAGCTAATTGGTTAGTTAGTTAGTTGGCAGAAGGTCAATATTTAACATTTCTACATTCCAAGTATGATCACATATTGGTATCATAGTAGGAGAATCATCAAAAGCCACAGAGTACTGGACACCTGTTTCACTCTAGTCTGGGATTCTTCAGCAGTACACACCCATAGTCGCACCACGTACTGAACCCAAGACCGTTAGGCTACGAAGCCAGATTACTGACCATTCAGCCTCTGAGACAGAATCCAATGGTCCACTGTAACAACAGAAGACTAGGACCCGGAAACAGATCGCTTATTCAGGAAATCAACACATATTTATAAATTTTCATGTACAAACACAGTCTTCTGATTGGTGGTTTCTTTTTTTTTTAGATTTACAGCTTGATTCCACACTGTATTTTTGGTACAAGTATGGAATTTTCAGCATGGATATCGCTGAACGTTAATCTTTCATCTCTTTGTGGTCGTTTTTTGAAGTTCAGATTGTCTATCTGCAAATTGTATCCGCCTACGCAAAGTGACTGTGACTGGTTGTTGAATCAGTCTTTGTTCTCATTTTCCCCACGACTAATACTGGGACGTAAACATTGATGTAAATTACTGTCTACCAATTTGGTTAGTAGCCAGCTCTCACCACACCATGAATTCTAACTTTCATCATTTCTTGATTTTCAACACTAATTAATCAAGGAATGTAGATAGTACTGTTGGTTTAAGGCTAGTTTAAATAACAAGTCAACAAAAAAACCCCGAGAATCTAAGCAATACAAAATAACTGTGAAATGAATCACCTTTTGAATAGGTGACATATTTACTCGTAGTACTATTTCCTTCTTTGGAGGTAATTTTAAATTAACTTCAATTTTTGATCGACGAAGTATGAATGGATGAATAATTTGATGAAGTTTTGTAATTAGGGAACTTTCCATTTCAGCAGCAACTAAACGATTTTGACCAGATGCATTGCATAATACAGCAGGATCGAACCAACTCTGTTAAAATATAAATAAATGGGGAAAAATATTTTCGGGGCGGGGAGAAGTAGTTTTTTTTAATTTTATTAAAATTAGTTGTGCATTTGAAGAGTGGTGGTCTTGCTAAAGATGCTATATTACTCTGATAAACAATAGACCTTCATCGGCAGAAATCAGTCTGGGAATCTATTGTACTCAGTAAAAGGAACAAGATCGCTTTCGACAATACTAATATCAAGTCAGTGCTTCTATATAGTTCAAAGACTTGGCGTGTCATGAAACCCATTCCGAACATGCCTCAAAACTGAAGATCAGATAGCTAACTAGTCAGAAAGGATAAGAAACAAGGAGCTCTGGCAGTTCAGTGAACAAGCTAAGAACATCTCACCCACCAAATATATAGAAGGAAAGGGAGATGGATTAAACATCCACTGAGGAGACTGTTGCACGACATTACACGCCAGGCCTTCGAGTGGAACCCGAATCGGAAGCGACAAGTTATGCGTGTGTCCGAAGGTGATACGAAGAAGATCGTATGAGGAGGAAATGAAAGATTATAGGCAGTCACGAAGCCAGCTAAACAGACTACAAAGAAAAGGGTAGAATGAAGATGTGCCACTGAAGGTCGAAAATTCAATTCGGAACCCAAGGGAATAATGAGTAAATAAATAAGTAATAGGCAGCAGTTATAAAAATAAGTAAAATACAAAATTATTCTTTCATTAGGCTAAGATGACATTTTTTTCTGTCAAAAATAAGTTGACATGATTTTCTAATATTGGAATGCATGTATTTTGTTAAGTGTTGATTGTTAGATTCTGGTGGAGCCGAATCTCAACTTGGGAGGGGGAGGTATCCAATTGCTGACGTTTGAGCGCTTAACCCACTGATATGTATTCATCGAGGCTCAGTTTTGTGTAGTTACCACTGATATGATTGTGAACAATAAGTTGCACTCATATATATAGGTAGTGTATCAGATTAGGTTCAGTTAATTATGTTAGAATACTGCTTGTAGCTATCGCAAACACTATACTTTTACTGCCTCAATTGCTAGAGTCCCAAGAATGTTTCTTGGAAAAATTCGCCGAATTACTTGATTTATTTTCTCAAAAGATAAACCGGATAATAGAGAAAATAGAAAGAAAGCAGACATCTTGGAATAATCAGCTATGAAGGGACGTTTTCCAGGACGAATACTGTACCAGTATCATCTGGTCATTTAAGTTTAAAAGTTAAAGCTTACAGATGTAAGCAGATGAGTTGATAGTCCTACTCAAGATTTGACCTTGACTGACCGTTAACACCATTTCGCAACATGAATGACGTCTATTCAGCTTATTCTTCAAGTTCTCTAGATAATTGTTTTTTGCGAGAAAGCTGAATACACCTTAACAAACTTTACGTTCATTTCCGATAGATGTATAACTGCAGCATACAACTTTAGAAGCCAATCTTCTTTGCTTCATTAGATAACATTTTATCATTTCTGAACTAAACAAAAAATATTCAACCTGAGTGAATATCATTCTTCAAGAATAGTGTCCAGTTTTCTGTACCTCTGAAATTATATACCTGACGATTGCTATCTGAATGTTTCTCAGCCGATTTCATCATGTGACATTTCTTATGATATTCTCATTATTGGAAATAATAGTAAATCTGTTGAAAACTTTATTACCCTATTTAATCATATTCATCCAAAAATATCCGAGTGACTTCCAAGCACAAATTGAATAAAAAAACTCGGTTTCCTGGATATTACTATGACTAGGACAGATGATGGAATGATTCGGCGATCTAGTTTTTGTAAACAGACATGGAGTAGACAATATCCTCATTCCATCAGTTTTGTTCCCCTATCGAGTGTAATCGTTCCCTAGTGAACTGTTTGTTCTCAAGGGCCCGAAAAATCTGCAAAAAGTGACACATTAATGGATGAGCTTCGACATATACATTCAGTTTTACTAACTAATGGTTATCCAGGGAACTTCATCACTTGTCACAGTAAGGATAGACCACGTCTAGAGAAGACAGCTTCTGTACCAAAGAAAGCTATCTTTATTAACCTACCATTCAAGGCTGACCAGATTATGCAGTTGACAGCTCAAAGACTTCGGTCAGTCGTCAAATACATATTCTACACCGCATCTCTTTTTCTAACTTGCCGAACATTTTCGATCCCTGTACCTACGATTAAAGGACGGAATTCTGTGGACTCTACTTCAAACTGTATCTACAAGTTCACCTGAAGCTTGCGGTGACATCTATACAGGTAGAATCAATAGAATGTTTCAATGTCGTTGAAAAGAACATGTTCCAAAATGGCTATTAAAACATACAGAAAATCCAAATGCAATCAGTCTGAATAGAAATCCATCATGATCCATTGCAAAACACTTATTAATGTTAGGTCACAAAATCAATATTAATGACTGTTTCACAATTATTTCACATAACTCTAATTCAAGGTTATTGAAGTAATGGAAGCACTTTGGATTAATCAGTGTGCACAGTGAGCACAAAAAACAACAGACTTCAACCTTAGCCTACCATGGACTACTTGACCTATTTAAATACGATTGGTCATTCGAATGTACTTTTGCTTTTTATACAACTGAGTCATGCATTTTATTTTATATTATTATTGTGAACCCAGAGACAATAGCGGACTTGATGACGCCATTGCTGGAGGTGTGGAAGGAGGGCAAAGTACCCAAGGATTGGAAGAAAGGATACTTATTCAAACTACCAAAGAAAGGAGACTTAAGTCAATGCAAAAACTGGCGCGGAATTATGCTCTTGTCCATCCCAAGCAAAATACTAAGCCGCATCATCCTGGAGAGAATCAAACACGCCCTGGATGAAGAACTTCGACCGTAACAGGCCGGATTCAGGAGAAACAAGTCGTGTATTGATCAAATCGCCACACTACGGATCATCATTGAACAAAGCTTGGAATGGCAGCCACCTCTCTATCTCAACTTCATCGACTTTGAAAAGGCCTTCGATAGCGCAGCGTCGATCGAGAGGTGATTTGGCGACTACTTCGTCACTACGGGGTCCCATCGACAATTATACATCTCATTCAACAGTTATACGACAATGCTGCATGCCAAGTAATCCACAACGGGAAACTTACGGAAGCCTTCGAAGTGAGGATGGGAGTGAGGCAAGGCTGTCTACTATCGCCAATGATCTTCCTGATTGCAGTAGATTGAATAATGCGACAGACAACGGGCAATGAGGAAACAGGAATAAAATGGACTCACACAAAAAACTTGGAGGATCTGGACTTCGCCGATGATATATGTCTGATTTCCCACAAACTAACAGATATGCAAGTGAAAAGCAACAGGCTGGCAGAAGAAGCATCAAAGATAGGACTTCAAATGAACATAGATAAAACAGAAGTGATGAAGATTCCTGACCAACACCAACAGCAGCAACAACAGACAACAATCAGCCAGCATAAATGGGAGGAACCTCAAAGAAACAACCTCTTTTACTTACCTACCTATCTGGGAAGCATCGTTTCAACTACAGGCGACGGAACTGATGAGGATATCAAAGCCAGAATCGGAAAAGCAAGACAAGCTTTCGTCACTCTGAAGTCTGTGTGGAGGTCAACAGCACTCAGCATCAAAAATAAGATCCGGATTTTCAACTCCAATGTGAAATCAGTGCTACTATACGGATCAGAGACTTGCTCTGCGCGTCATAAAGAGCATCTCAAACAAACTTCAGACCTCCATTAACAGTTGTCTCCGCTCAGTACTACTCAAGGTCAGATGGCCGGCCAGAAAAGATCAGCAACAGGGATCTCTGGCAATGAGCGAACCAACCAACCAGGAACCGATTGTGAAACAAATAGGCAAGAAGAAATGGAGATGGATTGGCCATACTCTGAGGAAACCATCAAGTGACATCACTAGACAAGCCATCGCTCGAGTGGAACCCTAAAGGGAAGTGGGTGACTTGGAGGAGGTCATGTGAGGAGGAGATGAAAGCATGTGGGCAGACTTGGAGCGGGGTGAAAACTTTTGCAGCGAGCCGAAAGCAATGGAGAAGCGCAGCTGAAGCCCTATGTTCCTCTAGGAATTAAAGGACATAATAATAATAATAATTGTGAACCATGTTAGTTGCAAAGCGGTTGTAAAGAAACTACCAAATGATACCATCATCTCACGAAATTTGTCTTCTAAATGCCTTATTCAAATTTATCAAAGGGAGTGAGTGTTTTAAATTTCTTATAAATGAAATTTCAGAAAAATAAAATCTTTAATATGAAAACATTTTTAAAAATTCCGCAACAAAAACTATTGATTAAAAATATTTTAAAAAATAAATAAATTAGACTAACTTCGAACATAGCCAGTGAAGTAAATATTTCAGGCAGTATAAAATGCAACAATGACCAAAGCTCAGAAAGACGATTTTGTAATGGTGTCCCAGTGACGAGTAGACGTAAACCAACTGAAAATTTTGTCAAACATTTGTATAATTTTGATAAAGGATTCTTTAGTCTATGTCCTTCGTCGATAATCAACGCCTAAACAGTTAGTCATCGAAAAAAAGAAGAAAGATGTTATCATGATAAAATAATGTTCATCTCCAGAGAAAAATGCATCCATCTCAAATCATCCACACACACACACACTTTTGTTAGACTCACCTTAAATGGAACATTCTTCAGGTAACCTGCATCACGAATAGCTACATCAAATGTTGTCAGTATGATTGGACAAGTCTTGAAACTGGATGAATTGACCTCCTTAGATATTGAGCTGTTAGAAGTAGAATATGTTGAGCTTTCATAGTGTGAATCTATGTTTAAATGATATTCCTGTTGTAGATCATGGTTACCGCTCCGATCATTATTTGCGTGATCAATATGAACTTTTTCGGTTGTTGATTGTTCTTCTATACAGCTTGTGAATATATTGCCGGTAAGTTTAGTATTTGTCGAAGATTCTGAATGTTCACAGTCGGCGATTGTTTCCGCATTTGTATTTTGGTAGTCATTAATAACATTAGTGATAATATCATCTAAATGAGCTAAAGCTATCAGTTGATCTTCAGTTTGTGTAGAATCAGTTACTGTGGGTTTACATAATGGCAAGCTAGATGGGAAATCAGATGATGCCTTCTCATCAGTAAGGCAAGATGAATTCAAATCAGTAGGGGTATTATCTTGCGTGCACCCAACTGTAACATCAGTATGTTCTCCTGAAATCTCAGGAGGAACTGAAGAATTTTCATCTTCTGTATAAATCTGAAGTGAGCTAGAGCTGATTTTTGATGGAGAAGCAATGACACAATCCTCTTCGACATTGGAATTAGATATGCAAGGATCTACCGTTTCTGTTTGGTTACAGCACATATGTTCTTTATCCTCAGTGGGATATTCATCCCTAGCACTTTGAAGTTGAACGTCATCACATATAATAGCTTCACTTGATGGTGATTCTGTAATATTTATACAATTATTCTCCGTATGATGATTTTGGACGGGTGTTGTTGGCATTGCATCAGGTACACCTACGTTTCTATTGACTAAACAATCCGAACGTCCTTCTTCAGTCTCATTTGGTGACATTTTCTCAGCTTCAGGATCAATTTTAATTTTGAAATTTTCTTCCCCTGAGTAACTTGGACTGGAGTTATCCTTTAACACATTTTTGTCCTCATGATCATCAAAACTTGACAATACTTCAGAAATTATACTATCGACTACATCAATAGAGGAATATTTTATCTCATGGTTTTGAGAAATATTCATTTCATCTTTGTGTGTACGCATTCTTTTTGGTGCTGAAGAGTAGCTAGGTAATGAACAAGAGCTAACAGAAAGTGAAACAATAGAGTTATTTTCTTCAGTCTCTGAACAGAATGAACTTGTTTGATAAGATAAATTATCACTACTACTAGAAACTGCTTGACCTTCGTTACACTGAGGCATAGCTTTTTTTTCTACAAAGCCATTATTCTGTGATCTTTCATACACTTTAAATAGAGGGACTTTTATTGGGCCATCAAGAGATATATGAATACGTTTACGAATAAATTTCCGGAGTTCTAGACGTTCTTTCATTGAACCATAATAAACCATACATGGAAGTCGAGGTGCGAACGTTGCTAACTCGTCAGACCAAACAGATATTAGCGACAATGGACAAATGATCAAAAAGGGACCAGAAACACCAGACTCAATCAAGTCAGCCAGACCAGCAATAACCTGAAAATAAACAGAAAAAAAAAGATACTAGAGAATAATTCAATAAGATAAAAACTTATTGTTTAATATCATATATACCAAGAATAAGACAGTCTATCTTTCAAAATTAACAAGCTGGATATTCAACTTTCTGTCTGTCTGTATTCGACATAGAACTTTGCACCGATGTGCACCAGTTCAAGTCGCCACACTCTATACTTGTAGCACACAAAACAAGAGAAGAAAGTAGAAAAAAAGCATAATAGAGACAGTAAACAGAGGTGTGATACAAAGGAATAGTGATAACGAAAAACAATATAGTTTCACTGGAAATAATAAGTCACAAAGAGTGGATGCATCTTCGCCAGCCATTGAGAACGATTTTTAGCCATATCACAAATTATCTCCAGCCATCGGTTTTTACCGTCCCGAGGACCCCAACCAGGCTAGAAGTCTACACCTTCCTACGTGGCTGGCTTAAACTAACTGTTGCAGATTTCACTGACTGGTGCCATGTTTTGTTTTGACCGCCTCTAGCCCTTTTCCAGTATGAGCCTATTTCAGCTAACATTGCTCATTGTCGGGGAAAGCGATGACTAGGCATACGTAACACATGTCCTAACCATCTCAGTCGATGTAACTGCTTCACAGCCTCGTTGATTGATTTCCCCTCCTTACCTAGCACTCGACGCCTAACCTCAACATTACTCACCTTATTATACTGTACCAATAGAAGACAAGGGCCAGGCAAGAGATCAGTTTATTAAAGAAATCAACACGTATTTATATATTTTCATGTACATTATTATAGCTTATTCAAGCAAACAAACACAGTCTTCTGATTGGTTGTTTCTCACAGAAATTTGACCTTGCATCTCTTTGTGACTGTTTCTCGAATGTCAGGTCATCTATATGTTAACTGTATCTGCCTACGCAAAGTCTGCTGTGATTGGTTGAATCAGTCTTGTTCGTATTTTCTCAAGATCAATATTTACGACATACACATTAACGTAAAATGCTGTCTACAACTTTTGGCTAGTAGCCACCTCTCACAACAATGCCACTTCACACGGAGATAGAACGCAGGCACCTATGATCGAAGACAGCTAATCTTTTCGTGTCTTCCATTCTCAATGGCCAAGTCTCACAACTAACTTTCATATAGATAACAAGCACAAAAGAAGAAATGTTCACTTTGAATATTACTCAAATCGAATGCAAAACTTTGCTGCATATGTGTTCACTTACACATACATATTCACCACACTGTTGCCGTTTTTCACTAATTTTGTTTTTGATTTTAGCTTGATTCCACACCGTGTTTTTGGTACAAGTATGGAATTTTCATCATGTGATATCAGTAGCCCAAATTTCGCAGGCCGACCATTAATATCAGGTGCGCGTCAGCAGAGGGTCGAACCTCGGACCATATGCATGGTCTGCAAGAGTCCTAACCAAATAGTAGTATTTTACCAAATAATACAAATAAATCCTCCTGAATTATCAAATGAACCGAACAAACCAGAAATTTTTGGGTATATCTACCTCTTGCAGTTTAACAAGCTGTTACTCCATAAAATGAATCTAAGTCTGTCGTAATACCAGTCAGTGACATGACTACCAGCCAGCAAAAGGCGTGAAAGTATCTCAGCTTCCACCTCAGGCTACGCTTTTGACCAACGTATCCACAAGATCTTACAAATCACTTCAGTGTAGGTCCTGGGTAGAACTGTAGCAGCCGATATTTTGCGAACTACTTGTAGTAGTCTATAACACTGACGGTTGTTACTCAAGTATCGGTTTGTAGGGATTTGGTTGATTAGTTACAGGATTTCATCATGAGCTGGCATTAGTTAGAGAACCATTGGAAAACCTGGGAGTACTGAACATCTGTTTCCATCGTCCTAGTTTGGGACTCTTCAACAGTACGCACCTACTGGGTTCGAACCCAGGATCTTGTGGCTCCAAGGCGAGCTAGCCCGTAGACCATTAAGCCAGTGGGACCCGATCCAATGGCCAGCCCATGAATTCTAACTTCTGCCAATTCACTATATAGCGCAACCGCTAGCCAATGTCTTCGGCGAGTATTTGACCTCACACCAACCTGTTCCACCCTACTGGTCACGACTTCCCACTGGAACTCCAGGTAACTACCTACTTGAATAGGGCCAGTCGCCAGTGAGCATCTCATTGTTATTCATGTATTTGTTTGTTGGGATTTGGTTGATTAGTTACAGCATTTCATCATGAGCTGACATTGGCTAGAGAACCATTGGAAAACCTGCAGGGAGTACTGGACAGCTGTTTCGTCCTAGTTTGGGACTCTTCTCCAATGGTTCTCTAGCCAATGTCAGCTCATGATGAAATCCTGTAACTGATGGTTGTTATTTGCAATAATTGGTTTATTTTAAGATTATAACAGTGATGTCTCCGTTTTAGAATGGCGGGAAACTTTCACTTTAATATACACACAATTTAGTCAGCTTCCTGACTATCACCTTGCATCAAACGATAAAACCCCATAGGAAATTTAGTTGAAGATACCCCGACATAGATAAATAGCTTCTAGCCTAGTTAGAATAATATTTGGTTTTATTTAGGAGTTTTAAACGCAGATTTAGAGAAACCATACTGACGGTAACAAAAATACACGACGAACTTATAATTTTGAGTAATCACCATTCGCATGAAAACTCTAAGAAGACAGACAGTACCGTATATTTTCATAGCATAACCAGTCGATTCAGATAGGATCTATTTGACACTTAGGTTTAACAGTGATGGAAGATGCTATGTAGCAAGGTAGTTATAGTCTCATATAAACAGATATTGTATAAGCTGAAAACAGTTTCAGTAGGCAACTTTCAATTTCGACATATTTCACTGGGCAGTTATAACTTATTTTCATAATTTCAAATCCAAAGGATGTAAACTGGAGTGTTTCTTTTGGTACTACAGTATCCCTCGACTAAAAATGTGTGTGGACATAATACCTAATTGATGATAAAGCTTCTTTTTGGTTTCACGCAAGCTACAGGACATGGATGTGGACATACAGAAATGACGAATAATTATCAAGTCTTTTAACTAACTACATCATAACTTGAATAAGCCATGACAATACACAGATAATTCCAAATGAAGACTTATTAATGTAGCTTTTGTTCCTGCTCTAAGGTTATTTTTTTAAATTTTATTCCTTTGCATCCCCAGTAGGACATGGAACCTCAAGTTTGAGCTTTGAAGTTTTAATAGCAATTGTGTCGATTTTTTACCGCGTAGGCTTTTAAGCCTTACACACCCAACCTTCCCTCTTTACTAGGCTTACACATGTCCTAACCATCTCAGTCGATGTAACTGCTTCACAGCCTCGTTGATTGATTTCCCCTCCTTACCTAGCACTCGACGCCTAACCTCAACATTACTCACCTTATTATACCACTTCACACAGGAGATAGAATGCAGGCACCTATGATCGAAGACAGCTAATCTTTTCATGTCTTCCATTCCCAATGGTCTCACAGCCATAGATGAGGACGGAGCGGAGTGCTGAGCAGTACACACGCCCTTTGGTCGATAACCGGATATCACGTGTACGTCAGAGACGGCATAAACTGACATATGGGAAACTAGCCCTCTGTATCCGTGCTGAGATTTCGTCAGAGATCAACCCGTTGGGGCTGATGGTACTGATGGAGAGAGTATAAACTTGAGATCAATTAGTTAACCTTCAAATCAAGAAACGAGAGCTGTTGAAAAGACCTCAGTAAGAAGAACATGAGAATTTTGATACTTCGCTCTCAGATTTACTTTATGGCGAAGAATACTTAGCTAGTTTTAGTAATGATTGAGATGAATATAAAGTTCACGAAACACTCCGCAGTCTACTACCAAAACTATTTGAGTAAAGAAAACAGTTGAGCGACTACGGCAAATAAAATTCAACGAAATGGAGAAGTAAAACTTATATTTGCATCTCTATGGTTTAAGTTTTAGGCAACTAAATATTACTAACTTCGAAGTCATGTAATTACACGTCATCCCGATACCATTCATTTTTATGCAGTATCTCTCAGAAGTTTGACGACTATAGGTGTTTTGCCCTTGTGAAGCATTTTGTATGAACAACACAAAGAAGAGAACCTTGAAATCTGACTGACCAAAGTGGAACTTTTCAAAAGGTGCGTAATTATAAGCTGTCAGACTTCGCAAAGCCACATATGAAATCAGATGAAAGAAACATAGCGGCACCAAAGGGGAAGATGTACGGCAGAAAGAACTGTTAGATAAATACTAGTAGAAATTTTTGGAATCTGAATAATTACAAGGAGTTAAGGAATTCACGCATCTGTAAACAATTTCCAGCCGCATCATTAACAATATCCAACTGTTTGTTCTTAGCATCCTTAGGACCCCAGCTAGGCATTCTTCGCCTAAGTACGTCGCTCAAACCAATAGTCACACTTCACAGATTGATGCTAAGTTGTGGTGTTACCACTTCTAAATCTTTTGCAGAGCGACCTAATCATGTGTCAGTTAACAGTGCTGGTCAAGAAAAGCGGTGGCTAGATATGCGTAAGATATTTTGCTTTTATTTCAATCGATGCAAATCTAAAATGTTATTGACTGACTTTGCCTCCTTATTTAACACTCCACACCTAGCCTCACTACTACTGACCATGTTATATTGCCTAACACGAGAAATCAAAGGCAGACACCCACAGTTAAAGACTGCTGGTCTCTTGAGATGTTCCATTTTCAATAGTCCAGTCACACAGTCCTTTGTTTGATATCCAAATATTACGATCGCGCCGAAGATAATGGGAGTTCATAAATGCTCCAGAAGTCTTTCGTGTCTGGTCTGAGATTTCACTGGCAATCAGTCAGTCAAAGCTGATGCAACTTCCAAATAAGTGAAGTGGTCAACTCGCTCAACCACTCTACTCCCTACCCTTATAATGGGAGTCGGTGTAGAAAAACACTGCAGCATCAACTTACATTCGAGAAGGGAGAATCAAATGCTAAATCTGCTATGGTTTATGCTCAACATATTCAGAAAATGGAGTTTTACCAGAGTTCATCTAGAAGGACAATTTTATCTGCATGCTAAAGACTAAAAGTAACAAATCAATCGCCAAAATGTCACAGTCAACCAGAGTCACCTTCACCAACATATCTATAATGAAAATAGACGAAAATGGTAATACTTTATGTCCTTGAATTGCAACCTAGATTGTGATTAATTCGCATAGAGACTCACCATAGATTTTTACGCAGTTGTATGGGATTGAATAGTGTGCCTTGATTAGCACAATATAATTCCTCGACACTGCACAGCTACACATTTTCACATCTCTGGGGAATGGAGTCAAATGCAGTCTTCAGGACAAGAAATATGATTTTGGACACTGCTAAGAGCTTCTGTTTTGCAGAACTTGTTCAAGGGTCGAAATATGATCCTCCTGTGGTTATTAAAAGCATATTTGTTTCCCTTCTCGTAAACCGGGACAATTAGTGAACTGCATAAATTCTATAAAGCTATCTTGGAATCCTATATGCTACCTGATACCATAGTTAACCTAGTCAATAATTCATCACCATCATCCCTAGACACCTCTTGTGTCTATTTTAGTGTAAGATTTGGAAGTTAAGCTACTACAACTTCTTTAATACATCTAGCTGTATTAGTCCCCATCTGTTTTCTCATCTCGCTGAACATTCGTCATTATCAGAAGTTATTTTTTCTCTATCTTATATCTACCCGCGTGTAACGGATTACATAATAAGTGTGTTGATTTCCATACCTGTATCAGTGTAAGTTGTTAAAAACTGATGAGATTTGACGAGCAGTGAACACAAGAGAACGCTATTTAAAAGCTCTTCACCTCTTCCGAAATTTAAATTAATACGTCTTGAATAAAAACAAGCGAACTTTTATCAGTATGTTAGAACAATGGTGAAAAGCTTTTCCAAGCCAGACGTCTAAGGTAAATCAAAGTTGGTGGTTAAGAAAAGCGAACTATTCATTCACAGAAATAGTGGCGAATGGTTGAGTATTTATCGTCTTCTTGAAACTGTTTTCAGGTACAGTCAACAAAACATTTTATTCTCTGATTACTAGAAATATTTCAGTGAAAGTTTATGAGAATCAGCAAGACTTACAGAAATACCTACTGTGAGAATTAACACAAAACTATTGATCTGATAGCTGTATAATTGAAAAGTAGGCACATTTGAGGACAAAAGAAGGATAGGAATGCTAACTAATAATATGGCCTCCATCAGCCGAGACTTTGCATTAAGTTCTAGTCAACCTTATAACTTCTTAAAATTTGAGAGAATGGTGAAGCCTCCGAATGTTCAGGTCTCATTCGAAATCCCTTCAGAGGTATCAGTTATATTGAGTGAAGTTCCAAACAGTTTCGCAGATAATACGGTATACTACAACCTAGTCAAGAGTTTAAAAAGCACTATTATATGAAAAACAGTGGATTAATTTCCCTCAAAATATTGGTGAAGTGTACAACTGGTCTGAAACCAATCTCGAGAAAACAGGTAAAGTAGGTAAAAACTTTGACACCGCCCCGCTCAAAAAGTAAGTGAAGTTGAGAAAGTTGAATATTTCTGGAAATGACAGTGCAATGCCATTTCCACACCATTTGGTATTGTCGGAAAAAGATCATGACCTGCAGATGGCCGTTAGCCTACTTACCTGAACAGTTTTGCCGAGGCCCATTTCATCTGCCAGTATGCCATTCATTCCATTCTCATATAAAGTTCGTATCCATCTACAGCCCAATATTTGATGGTCTCTAAGTTTACATTCTTCCAATGTTTGAGGTATATCACAGATGCCTATACGTTATGGTTTAAAAACACAGGGAAACCTAACTGTTATTTTCTTCTAATTCAAGCCTTGATCTCAGCGTGTTCACATAGACATTAATCTTCTCGAGAATTTCTAGAAGTCCGTCAAACTGCTGTTCATCTGTCTCCATTTTTAATACAACGTTATCCCGTGATTTCCTTCTAACTCGAGATATTAAAACAAAATGCAGTTGTATCCATGCTCATCAGCTCAATAGATGGTTCAGCTGGGCCTATCCGTAACGTTAATTGAAACTTCGCATAGTAAATTTATTTTACGAATAACTTTCAATAAAATTGTTAGGATTGATAGGAAATTTCATTTTCTGACTAGTCAGGTTGGTATACGCGTAATGCGATCCGACTGGCAAACACTCCTGGTATATTGGTTGCAATGATTGGTGTTTCAGGTGGATTGCGTCAAAATATCATTATAATGAGCTATGTGGTTTGGTTGGAGGGTAATTTCATATACACAAATAGTCTATTTTATGTAGAAGCTGGACTTTTTGGCATAGTATCATTCAATGAAGACTTCACACCTCAGGATAATAATGCAGACATTTCTGTGCTTACGCTTAAATTACTAATGCTCAACCAGACTAATTTTTCATTTGAAGGTGAAAGGCTGAAGGCAGAGTTTTGGAGTTTTTAACAATGAGTTCGTACAGTTTTTCCAAATGTTAAAAATGGACACAATGCATAACTCTTTTTAATTTTATTTTTTTTGAGAATTAGGCATAACTTTCGCTGTCGAACGAAAGTATAATCTTCCTAGCCACCCCTTCGCATTTTCACTGGTCCATACTGTCTACTTGTCCCTCTAATCTCTGTTCTGCAGTCTCTGGAACTTACTAGAACAACTCGTACTCATCTATATACTTTTCAGCTACCGGTAAACCGATTCTACCAGTGGACATAACACAGAATTCAACCGGATATGTGGATTATATTATTATTTTTAGTAGAGAACTACAACCATATTTTCAAGGTATCATTAACTTCTATAACTCATCCTTACATCTGTACTATAGTTTCTCAATATTCTTTTATTAATTTGGATATTTATTCTGATACTTCATACTTTTTCGAATTGGCTGTCCAGTAAGTTACAGAGATTGGCCTCTGATAATAATCACTATTCGTTCATATGGTTCCGAGTCGGGCATAAGGCTTAGGTGACGCACCCCCACTTCATTCAGCTCTGTGTCATCTTTTCAGTTTCCTGTGAATGTCCACAAGTTATCATCCCATCTTCAGATGATCACTCCTATGCCATCAGACGCTTAGCTAGTTGCTCATCAATTCGTTTCCATCTGACTGCTTCAGTGGAATGGTTTATTTTTCAAAAATCCAAACGGCTTGGGAGAGAGTATTGCGTTCTAGGCAAATTGTAGCCTCTTCAATATGATACAAGTTAGTGCTTAGATTGGACTGGACAGGAGAAATATTCAGCAATAGTTCTAGCTGGAACGTAAGTTGCACTTACTCGACAGTCAGACAAACTAGTTGTTCATAAAGACAAATACATCTCCTTCATTATCAGTGGAATGTCTGTGTCCGTTGAAATCACCAAATCCTCCCAGGAGAAGTTTGTCTGATCCTTCAGCACACTTAGCTGACTTTAAACAATGTCTTATGGGAAAAACCGGGTTCGCTACTTCAGCTGAATCTCAAACATTTCAGTTTCAACCACCAGTGTGTTCATCTGTGCTGAGCGAACCATAGTGAGTACAATCGCGTGCGAGAGGAACATGAGAGCGGCTACTGAGTATTGATGTGGTCGCGTATTTCCATACTCTCTTCACACCATCGTTAAAAAACACACACTTGGACGGCCTCAAGTGTTATCTTCTCCCCTCACTGGTTGGGGCGGAGTCAAAAGCCTCCTGGCCACTGGTCTAGGAGGCCGGGCTTAAGAGCCAACAGGTAGCGTGGCTAAGGCTCGGGTCTATGAGGGTGACCGACCACACAACAATCATGAGCGTTATTTCTAGTGGAGGGCGACCGGAAATAAGCTCGAAGCCGTTAAAGTGGTGTAACTGAGTCGTTTCCTAGAACGCCGTGACCATCAAGAATGCCAACTTCAGAAAGGGCCTGATGTTGCTATTGGTGGACCTGGTTATTTGACGTGGGTTTCCGAGTTCTGTCGTACATGCAGTTACCAAAGTGTCATAAAACCATATTTTGTCAGTTTTAGTAGTCTTCTGTATTCCATTGTTCAGTAAATTGCAGACTGCACCCAACATCTGTACATATTCATCTTCACCATACGCGTAACATATGACAGCCAACATGTGTTCAAAGAGGGTAATTCCTCACTCTGCTCTGGATGTCCAGCATTTACTACTCTGGACCTCATGCTGTCCCTGGAAGACTTTCAGAAACAATTTGTAATAACCAACGCGGGAAAGCAGAACACAGATTGGCGACTCGAGAATCCCTTATTCTTACGCCAATATGTAACCAACAATAAGGTTATTGCACACAAGTTCTAATTATCCACAGTTTGTAAAGGAGTTTGAAGTCATGTTGAGTGGGCTTGGAATAAATGAGGAAATGAAGTTGGTGTATTTGTTGAAGTATTGCACTGGAGTTGCTTCAAGAGCTATCCATTGCTGTAAGTTCATGAAGCCGAACGAACGGTATACAGAGGCCATGAGGTTGTTACGTCAAATTTTAAAAGGCCGTTTATGGTATCTCGTATCATTTTTCTGCCCGTCAAGTGTAATGGTGCACAGTTAAGTGACAACCCCGAGGAACCCGCAGAGTTCTTGGTTAATTTAATGGGATACAGAAATACTCTGGCTTATCCTCATAATATGGATGAGTTAAACTCAAGTTCGGCGCTTGGGACAGTTGTCAAGAAATTACCGGTTCTTCTACAAAGGAAGCTCATAAAGGTTAGTTCCCGGCTAGAGGAAGATGGTTTGAAGCCTGGATTAGATGATATTGTGAGGCTGGTGAAACACAATGCCAGCCAACCGACGGGCAAATTCGCCAGCATTTTGCATTCTAAGGTAGAACCTAAGGAACCGGTGAATATAAAGAAAGCATTTGTAGTGAAGGCTCAAGGCACAACGAGAAAGGATGAGTGTATCGTTTGTCATAACGCCCATCATTTGAGTGATTGCAATCGCTTCATTGCTATGTCTCCTGTAGAAAGCTTAAAAATGACAAAACAGAAGCGGTTGTGTTTCAGTTGTTTAAAGATGAGGCACACAAAGTTGAATTTCAAGGCAAAAGACAAGGGAAGTATTGGTTCAACCGATATGCACCCACTTCTGAGAACAGTAAACGAACCGGCGAATTCGGTTAATTGTAATAGTAACTTTAGACCCCTTGACAACCCACAGGTTTATTTAAGGGTATTACCAGTTAAGGCGAGAGGACCGAAATCTTCAGTAGAGACTTATGCATTGTTGGATAATGGTTCAGACATTACATTGATAGATGCTAAGCTGGCTGGCTGCTTGGTTATTAAGGGCCAAAAGCAACCTTTGGTTCTAAATACTTTCAATTCTGCGAAAACAGTAGTATGTGAACGAGTGTCATTTCAGTTAGAATCCTTGGCTACTGGGGAAACCGTGAAGTGGATACTGCTTACACTACCTCCAGTATGAAACTTGGCGAAGCTATAGTACCTAGTCGTGAAACAGTTGTCGGTAAGCCATACCTGTGTGACATAACGTTTCCAACACTGCAAGATGGTGGAGTGAGAGTACTCATTGGATGTAGTGTGCCAGAAGCTCACAAGGTATTAGAAGAGAGATTCGGAGGTAGAGATGATCTGTTCGCGACGAAAACACCACTAGGATGGACAGTGAGAGGACCTATACCCATAGTCCACATATCATCATTAGTTGCAAACGATGGGGACAAACTAGAAACTATGAATAAAAATATGTATGACAAGGAGTTTTGCGACTGCGGTGTCCCTGAGACGGGTCGTTCTGTAAAAGACTTAAAAGCAGTTAAAATAGCCGAGGAGTCTTGTAAATACGGAAACGGGCGTTTCAGCGTTGGTCTACCATTGAGATTCAAAGATAGACAGTTGGTTTGTAATAGAAAAGTTGAGAAGAAGAGACTAATGGGTTTACAGAAGAAGTTTCTGTCGGATGCAGACCTCTGGCCCAAATATAAGGATGTCGTCGATAAACATATAATGAAGGGTTACGTCGAAAGACTAGTTGATCAGAGCGAGCCAGGGAAGTGGTATTTTCCCCATCATCCCGTTTTTAACCCGAGGAAGCCAGGTAAACTCCGTCTGGTGCTCGATTGTTCTGCGAAACATGAAGGAGTCTCTTTGAATGATAATCTGTATAGTGGCCCATATTGCGTTAGCTCATTAGTGGGACTGCTGCTAGGATTCAGATAGTTTACAGTTGCTGTCAGTGCGTATATAGAGGAAATGTTCCTACAAGTGCAGGTGCCAGAGGGGGACAGAGATCACTCAAGGTTCTTGTGGTTTGATGACGGTCCTTGTGGTAAGGTGTCAGAATATAGGATGACAGTGCCTCCATTTGGTGCCACGTCCTCCCCGTTTTGTGCTAATTTTGCTCTACGGAAGGCAGTGTCCACATTTGGTCCTAATGATCTGCTGAACGCCATCAATTGCTGCTTCTATGTGGATGATTGTTTAGCCTCCTTCGATGATGATAAGTCTGCAGTTAGATTTGCAACAAGCATCACTGAAGTGTTAGCTAAGGCCGGCTTTCGTCTAACTAAGTGGGTCTCAAACAGTCTAGACGTTTTGAAGCATATAGTTCCAGAAGACAGAGCACCTACCGTACGAGATTCGCCTGTTGATACTCTACCAGTTGAACACACATTAGGTATGCGATGGGATGTGAACTCTGATAACTTTGGATTTAGTGTTGGTGATACTGATAAGCCAATTATAACAATAACGTATATTTTCATACAAACACATTAATTTACATGAAAATGCATGCCGTTTTTACAGGCACGATCAAGTGTGATATAACCTCAAATCGTAGATTGTCTACAAGTTAACAATGTTTCAACAGTTAAATAGTTGATATATATATTATATTATAATCGACTTCGTTTCGTTTTCAACCCGTGGTTGTAGACATACGATTACCAACCAATATTGAGGCAAGTACGA